GCAACATTTTTAATTAAGGAGGGAACAAAAGCATTTAATTCTCAAGAAATTCAGACAAAATAAAAATGCTACATTAATTATATACATTAAATTCACATTTTATTTATTGAACAATTGAAGATAATGACATCCAATTTATTACAAAGTTTTCTATCATTTTGTATCATTGGCAATAGTTATGAGTCCTGCAGTTGAAGTCTAAATAGAAACAAAACATCTCTTCCCCAATCCCACAAAAAAACCCAAAAAGTGATTTTATAATTATAAAACCAAAAGTTTTATAAATGATATATATTTGTGTTACTTCAAAATGGCAGCATAACTAAGATTAATTTTCTTTTCTGGAAATATAAAAGTAACATAATTGTTTGTAGAACTAATAAACCTGAAATTACACTATATTCCAGTGGTGTACGGTTATGCTCCTATTGTTGATTTTTAGTTTACCAGATCACCTGACAAATATAGTTTGTCATCCTGTGTATTTTTTCTTTATAAAAGCAATGTACATATCAAATCCAACTTCTCCCTTAATATATATACTTTAAAATAATACAAATACTTCACATGAAAACCTTTCCCTATATTGTATATCCTGAAAAAAAAAACACGTGGAATAGTATTTCTAAATCATAAAGAATATGCAAAAATTTACATATTCTAAGTAATTAAATCAAGTGTGTAAATAATCATTAACTTTGTTCTAGTCACAGAATAGAAAAAAATTTACATCTATATTAGTATAAAGAGACATTATTAGAAAAGTTCACATCTTATGCATATAACAAAAAAAAATTAAAGAATCCTATAGTCTAATAGAAATAGTCTTAGGACCAATTTTAGTAGTCCAGAAACAGGAAGCTAATTAATGAAAAAACTTCCATTTTCTAGAAGGTGTCCTTGTTTACTTATCCAATGAGTTTGTAAATTATGCTTAAATATAGTAAAATTTCTTGGGATTGAATAAAGAGATTTAGGCAAAATTTTGGGGTCAAATTAAACTGACTGAAATTTCAAGGAATATAAGTTTGATGCATTATTTGAAATCATAAAAAAGGCTTTAAAAGAAAATGAAAAAACACAATGACAATAAGAAAATCAAGATATTTTTACAATAATGACTATCTATATATACAGTTTGGAAATTCCCAGAGAGTACTAATTGTACAATTTTATATCTATTCTGTGTCCAACCTCTGATGAAGTTACCAAGGTGACTAACATTTTGCAGTTCCTGAGACAGAGGTTTCTTTGCAGATTTAATACATGTCCCAAACACCAGCTGTAATTTTGTACAGTATACATATGTTTTTTGGACTAAAATTCTAGCCTAATATTTTAACAACAATTTTAGTAATAGTTTTAAGGCTTCGATAAGACTTTCAAAGTTTTTTAGCTTTTAAGTATTTTTTTAGATCATAAACTGTAATTTTTCTCTCAAGCCTTACATTTCCTGAAAGATTTAACTCTATCCTGCAGGGAAGGAAAAAAAGAAAAAAATTCTTTTTAAATAAGTCCTTAGGTTTCTAGGTCCTGTACATGAAAATTGGAGACTGGCTTGGTTTTTGTTTCCGTAGATCTGCTGTTCCTCCATCTTGTGGGAAGCTGATCCATGAGGATTCTCACTACTGTCCATACCCTTTGGAACTGCATGGCACGTGAGCTCTTTCCATCTTCAATAACTGACATAGTGTCAACATCTGCTTCCAATGAAGTTGTTGTTTTTTTTCTCAAGCAGAGTAAATCTGCTGAATTTGTAAAGGGCTAAGTCCCCCTCCCCTTTTTATGCAGAAGATTTTTCCACCACATTTTGGAACTTTTGCTCCAAAGAAAGTTAAAAAAAAAAATGGATGACTTCAAAAGAGATGCTCTTACTCCAGATGCCAAGGAAGCCAAAAGTATTACCAGAAATATGAACTTTGATCATTTAATGACACTGTACTCTTAAATTGAGAGACAGTAGTACATAGGGTCCTGGATGAATACATTTTATAATTGAAATATGTAAAAAAACTCTCAATTGGGCCTACACATCATGAAGAAATCATTTCCCATCAGAAATGATATAAGAGGTCAGAGCAAATAAAGAAATTTATATTTTATCTCTCTCACCTAATATGATGAGAATAATCTCTCTGCAGTAATTCTTTACAGTAAAGCTGCCATGTATCCATTTGATTGCTAGAGATGGGTATGGAAAAATGGAGAACAGACATTCGGGAGCTCAATGTAATGATATGTTCCTCTCTCTCTCTCTCTCTCTCTCTCTCTCTCTCTCTCACACACACACACACACACACACACACACACACAACATACACACACCACATACATGCACACATAGATTTCCAACTTCCCTAGCCTGCCAGTTAGACATTATTATCCCATTTTACCCATGAGGTAAATTAATGAAGCCCCAAATTGCACATTAAGTTGTAGCTAATTCAGAGAAGCGTTTCCATTCTCTTCACATCACTTTATTCTGTTTCTGTGTATATCTCCTAGTCAAAAATCTAATATATATAACTCCGCTTTTCTAACTTTTCATTCTATTATTCCACTGGTTCAATTCAGCAAATATTATATGAAACACTCAAGAAAGGACAGAAAATAAATGTAGTTTCTGATTTGCACTTTAAATTACAAATACAGCATTAACCCAGATAGGAAACTCAAAAACTACATTCTGGCACATGTTCTTCAAATTTTGGACTACAAATGGGCAAATGTTATTTTCATAAGAAATACACTTTAAATTAAATACAGCATTAACCCAGATAGGAAACTCAAAAACTACATTCTGGCACATGTTCTTCAAATTTTGGACTACAAATGGGCAAATGTTATTTTCATAAGAAATACTGAGCTCTTTATGGGCATCTTTTATGCTAATGGCTGGAATTTTTTGTTAAATGTTACAAAATTAAAGAAATCAGTTCTTCAATTATTTGCAATATACTGTTTCTCAGTTTGTAAATCTTAGAGCAATCTTGGTCGATTTTGCTTCAGTAAATATAAACAATATTTTTTAAAAAGAGAGAGAGAAAAAAAAGGGGCCAGGGATTTAGCTCATGGTGCTGCTGCCTCCTTTGCAAGTTCAAGGTACTGATTTAAATCCCCAGTAAAAAAAAAAAAAAAAAACAGGAAAAAAAATACAAAAGTGAGTAAAGAGAGTTTGGCTAACTTTCTTTTAAAAATGCACTGGTTTTTTACAAAATATTGATGCTCCTGGCAAATTAACAGTGAAGAATCAATCATCCTGTTAGGGTTCTAATTTGCCCACATTATGTTGTTCCTTAGTTCCTGATAGTTGAGTGCTGGAAGCATAAATTAGAGTAAATGAGAAGATTTTCTACTATCTAATTCACAGATCTTCAGACAGCTTGAATGAGGTTTAATGTGTAAAACAATCAAAGGTGAAGTAGTTCAAAATGAAGTTAGAAAGATAAGCAGAAGCCTTCAATAAGGAAATTTAGAAACCTCTAGGTCCAACAGTATAATTTTAATGCTAAAAAAATAGATTCACAGGATGACAGAATTTTAAATGTAGAATAAATCAGATTATTATACTAAATCACAACTCATCCTCTTTTGTGACTTTGATGGTGCTGATAATATAATAGGGATAACAAACAATCATAAAACAATGTACTTACTCCTGTCTACTGAGATTTTGATCCACACCTCAGCTATTTCTTAAAGCTCACTTGCAAATCTTTTCTGTATAAAAGAGAATTTTAGAGTCTTTACTTTTCCCAGGCCCCTAGAGCCAAGAAATACTGTATCCACATGTCCAAGGAAGGGCAGAGAACAAAATCTAAATTGAAGCTGCAGCCACTACTTGTAACCTCTGTCTTCTTCAATCCAGTTTCATAGATAATAAGCAAAAAGTTAGAATTTTCTCTTCTGAACTGAGAAAATCCAACTGAATGGATCTAAATGAAGTATGACACTGTTCCATCACAAGTTGCAAAGGAAGTTAATAGATTCCAAGGGAAAAGAGGTTAATAATCCCCAGTGAAGTATCTCATGGGAAGTACTGAATACTTGTTTTCAAATACTCAGGATAATCTCAGACAAAATACATTTTATAGATTCTTTAAATTCTGTGCTACACTTATTTGGAGATATTACAAAAAATGTATTAAGCAAATAATGTATAAGAATGTATGTAATTAACCAGGTCATTCCTTAGAAATTTTAGATTGTTACTGAGTGGAAGATACCTTAAATTCGGACCTCACACTGTTAAAAATGTACACATTTTATTGAGAAATTCTAGTTAAGAAGAAGCAGAGACTGACAAAAACACAAGAGAGTATAGGTCTATAACTTGCAGGATGCACCATAAAAATTGATCCATAAGATATAGCAAAGTAAAATATTTGAAAATTATCTGTGAGCTCTCTGCCTAAGCATGTTGTCTTGTTCATGTCTAGTATTCATGCACATGATGTGCATAATTAAAGTTGGAAAGCAGCATTCCATAGAACATTCTATTTTATGTGTGTGTGGAAAAAACATCTGTGAGCTCTCTGCCTAAGCATGTTGTCTTGTTCATGTCTAATATTCATGCACATGATTGCATAATTAAAGTTGGAAAGCAGCATTCCATAGAACATTCTATTTTATGTGTGTGTGGAAAAAGATGGGAGAAATTTGAAAAACTTTTCATCCAATGCAAACAGCTATATTAAACTAACTTTTTACATGCTATGTGCAAGTGAAAGAAGCAATGTACCTTGTCTTTAACGCCTTTACATTGTCAACTTAGACAACTTTATTTAAATCCCAAGGTCACGTCAAGTTGAATCCATGTCAAGTTAAGTTTAGCCAAACTTCAGTAATTGTGGTAAAAGTTTAAGTGCCAATCAAATTTCATTTTAACCTAAAAAATATTTAAAGGATTAAAACAAGGAAATCTATATTGATACCAAAACAATGGAAGAAATAAAACTACTTGCAGCATATTACATTTAAAAGGTTATATGTACAATATATTATTTTTCATTCTACAATGGTGAGTGACATTAACAGAAACAGACTGGGCTTTGTTACATATCTAGTACATTTCCAGATATTATTCCATCAAATTCTCCAGTAAAAAAATATCACTTTAAAAAAAGCCCATGACTTTGAAACTTTTATGAATGAATAATTAGAAACAAGTAGAATAAGTCACTGGCACGCACAGGTAGCTTGATTAAACACATTTAAGTACAGTAGTTGTTTTTAAATTCTGGTTCCATTTATCAAAGTTAGATGGACTAGAAAGATAATTTTTACACTTTGGGCAAACTTTCCAGCTGATTAATGCAAACTTTCACCACAGCCTCCAAGTACTCTTTGGGAGAATCAAAGTAATGAAATATCTTTTAGTGTGGCCCTTAAAGTTTCCCCTTTTCAAGATATACATGTAAGTCAAAATTAAGTGAGCTAGAACAGAATTAAATCACCACTGAGATTTAATGGAAAAACAATACTGAATTGGTTTGGCTATAGTGTATCTACTTTTATAGAAAGAAGAAAATGTCACAAACTTGAGGTAACCTACAAAGCACAGAAATAAGCATATCACAGACATTATAAAGATAGCGTTTTCTAAACATTGTTGCCAGTGCTTCTCTGAGAGCAAGTTCTTTAAACAGAACTCAACAATTATTACAATATTTTTTTAAATCCCTCAAAAATAGCCCATCAATGCTAAACCTAACTTTCTGTATTTCTACAAAAATAGATGAACATAGAGCTACAAAATTTTATTCCTGAAAGAATGAGCATTTTCATTTGTGGTTCATCATTTCCTGACACAATGGCTGGTTCCAACAGAAAAATATAAAAAATTACAATGAAATAAAAATTAACCCATGTATTGGTAAAGCCAAAAAGTAAAAAAGAAAGTCACACAGTTGACAAATGCTCAGACAAGGGAAAACAAACAAAAGACCCACTTTGCTTTCTCCAGAAAAGTTTCAAAACCAAAGTCAACTGCTTGACATGTCCTCTTTGCCTTCCATGTTACTTGTGCCCCCTTTGCAGACTGGAAAATCCTAAAAGCAAATTTCCCCAGTGGGTCCTTGGATTTAGGCTGCAACTCCACTTGCTAACACTGTGTTTCAGTACCATGGTGATTCCTTGCTCTTGTCGTGATGCTGTAGACCTAGAAAAGTGACAACAGAGAAAATAAAGAACATGAGTATAGATAGCACTAACAAATGCATACAACTTGAAATGTACTGGACACAGAAGCTGAAAAGACAACAATGAAGAGAAATGACCTATCCCGGTCTCTAAGCAACCAATTTAATGATTTTCAAAAACCAACCAGCATTTTGGTGAGAAAAAGTATACTAGATTAGTGTGACTTGACAGTAAAACTTTCTTGCTATGATTTTTATTTTCTTGGACTTTGAATAATAAATACAATGTCATTAAATAAATGAGAATTTTGATTTATATCTTTAAAAGGAGTTGGCCTTAAGAGAAAAAAGATATAGCTAGTCTTTGAGGCATTTAGTCAGTGATTCAATTAATACTTTCACCAACCATCATAATGGCCAAAACAGTGAAAGAATTCTGTTGTCTTAAATTATATTCCACAATTGGATTATTGTAAATTCTAATGATCTGTTAGTCATAGTTAAAAAGAATCTAGTATTGTCAATAAAATAGACACAAGTGATTCACATCTAATAGCATAAACCTTCATTCTACGTATTAATTCACCTATTTTAATCCTCTTTCTCCAGAAAGTATTTAGAATGACTCATAAAAATCTATACTACATAGTAAGACAATTCAATTTAAGTAAATTTTAAAATGGTCTTAAGAAGATATGTGAATATAGATTAATTCCAGTTCAGATCTAAATTTGAGAAGCTTATCAAGGAGAACATTTAGAAAATATGACTCTAAACTGAGTCTCACACAGTCAACTGACTAATTTCTTATTTAGGCAATCAGTGTCATGTCATTAGTTTACACTAATGATTTCTGCATGAAATCATTTTCATTATTTTCTTGACAGCTTTGCTGAAATATAATTGACAAGTACAAATGTATATATGTAAAGAATGTAATGAGATGCTTTGAGAGCTAGATTGTGAAATACCACCATCAAATTAGCACATCCATCCCATTTTAATTCATTTAGTTTTATATCATACCATTTAGAATATGGAAGATCTTAAACATGCTCGAAAGTCACTTACTTAAGTCACATGCTAAAACGTCAAGTGAAACCTTTTAAACAAGACGGGGTAGAAGTGAGACAGGATCGTCATTATGTGGGTGCAAGGCTCTCAGGTTGTCTTCTTAACCTTTCAACTAAAATGGTTATAAGCTTGGTCCAGATATCAGAAACTGAATAATTAAATAACTTGTTTGATTTAAAAATTTTAATACTACTAAAACAAGATGTTTTTGTTCCACAGCTTGTCATATAATTTTATCAAGTAATAGATATAATTACAAAGAGACACAATTAGTTGTGTCTTGCAAAACAATTGCAGACATTAAGACAACGTACCAAGCAATGCAAATGAAGAGAACAAATGAGATCCAGAAGCACCGCAGCACTGATATCCTAGAAACAGGCATTTCCCAAAGACCACAAAAATGGCCCTGCCTTTACTTTTTTCAAAAGTGTACTGGTACAGTATTATCTCTGTTAGTCTGTTGTTTTGTTTTGTTTGGGGAATTTGGGAGGTTAGGAGAGTTTTATTGGAAATATGAAGAATAGCTCTAGGTTCCCAGGAGGGGTCCCAAGTGGGTGGCCTTGGTATTGTTTAGATGCAGAATCAACTGTTTTTCAATTTCAAAAGAAAAAGAGGGAGGATAAAAGAGGAGGAGGGGGGAGGAAGAAGGAATGAGCAGATCTGGGTTGCATCAAGTTATTCTAGGTTTACTTCACTTATTTTCAAATGATTTTGTGGTTAGAATAATTTGCAACCTGACATAGGCTCTGTTGGGTGACTCTTATAATCTAAACCACCTTTCCTGACAATCTGCTGACTACATAAATATTTTTTTCATTATTGAAACATCTCATCTTCTGCATGACTCAGTATTTCCACACTTGAAGACTGCATCAGTCCATAGAATGTCAGCACTGCAAGTCATGAATATTGCTGCAATCATCAAGTGTCTGAAGTGTCTTTTCTTCTTAAATAGATGCAATCCCTACTTTGCTTTGCAATGACATATGACTCCTTCACAATAAGGTTAGCCTTTTGCCATAGACAAGTATTGCATTACTTAAGACAGCCCTAAATTTCTCATCCAGAATAACAAAAGTCATTCTCTTATTATAAACTCAACTATTCATTTTTTGTCCATGTCCTTGCATTACTGTAAGTGTAAACCTTAAAAAATCAATTATTCTATGGCCTGAAAGGCATCAAATGTCTCCTGGGTCCTTGTGGCTTAGCTTGTTCTTGGTAGTGGGACATAAATCAAGACTTTTCTTTAATTCCTAGGCATTCTATAGATTATATATATAAATATATATACTACTAGGCAAATCTGTATATTCCAAAGTTATGCACAAAACAGGAGCAACCACAAACAAAAGATCCTACTAATGAGCTGCAACAGGGGCACAACCCTTCCTATTAAGACAATTGGTAACGGTGGGTCAGGAAATTTAAAGTCAGCCAGTGCATTTAGTTTTCCCCAGCACGGATGGAGGAGGGCAAAGCTGTTAGACTATTACCCTTAGTTGGGTTGCATAAAGATGATTTCTGCAAATTTCTTTGCCAAAACAGAATCCACTCTGTGGCAAGTGTTGCTCCTATGTAGGCTTTTCATTTTTACCTTCTCACTTTTCTAACTCAAACTCATAATACCGAGACTCTTCCACTGGTTGTCTAAAATCGCCTGTTCGCTTTCTTTCTATTAGTAATTGTGTTTTAGTTTTATTGTTTAGTCTGCACAGATTTTTTACAGAAAAGAAAAGAGATATCACAGAAATGACTGTAACACTTCTTTTCTTAATTCTGCCTGAATACACCAGATAGTGTGTTGAGTGTTCTACATGAAATCTCCCATACATCACAGAAATGACTGTAACACTTTTCTTAATTCTGCCTGAATACACCAGATAGTGTGTTGAGTGTTCTACATGAAATCTCCCATTTTGTGCTCCCAAACATTCTAGAAAAAATAGTACTTATTTTCAAATGAGAGCACTGAAACTAACAGAAGTTACATGACCATTAAGTAGGAGAGGTAGTCTGATGTCAGAATCAGTGGTCAACCGCAATTATATGCTCACCTATATGGGCTGTGTTGGCTGTAGGTTGTGGCACTGGCCCATAAATCACAACAAATCCTCTCCCAAAATCAGTACAAAGAAATGTTAATAGACTTGTTCATATTCTTTTTACATTATTTAGAAACACAGAACTGTTATCATGGTTAACGTATTAGTTCTTAGTGATTTATTACCAACCATACATCTGACATTTTTTCCTAAGACACAATAAATGATTACACTGCAGTTATACTTTAGATGAAAACCAGCAGTTTATAATGATGTCATATTAACTGATTTTTTTTATATGTATCTTTAATGTAACCAGCCCGCACTGGACTTCCCCAAGATGAACTTTTAAAACAGAGGCTGGTCATTTGATTTATGAGGTGTTTATCAGAAATGGACCAAGGAACAAAGTCATGAAATTGTTGGCTTCAGAGTTTGAGTTTCATATTCAGTTAGGAGCAAAGTCAGAGAGAAAAATGAAAACTCATAGGCACATTCCTTCACTTCAACTTTAACATCACTGCCACCTGATCATGAACAGAAAAGAAAAACAAAAAATCCAGACCCAAGAAGAGAAATGAGAAATAATTAGGAGCAAGAAACGTCTTGGTCAAGAGAGAGGCTCACAATATGACTTCTTTTCAAAACTAGAAGAAGCTGAAAATTTTAATCCAAGAGACTACTAAAACAAAATGCTACAAACTAAGTAGCTTAGAAACAACAGAAATTTATTATCCAAAATCAGGAGGCTGGGAACTCTTAAGATCAAGCCGCCAGCAGATTCAGTGTCTAATAAGGGCTAGCTTTTTGCTTCAAAGAAGGAAGACTTTCTCAAAGTATCCTCATAAACTGGAAGAAATCAGGGTTTTTTTCTCAGGCCTCTGTGTGAATGAAGGCACTGGTCCCACTCCTGAGGGTTATGTTCCACCATCTAACCATCTCTGAAAGACCCTGCTTTCATCACCTCAGGGAAAGGCTTTCAACATACAAATTTTGGAGTGGATACAAACATCCAGATAACTGCATTGGCTATATATAAGGCATCATTATTGGGAATCATCTTTCTAGTCATGAGAAAATCATTTTCTAGATGGGATTTTGGGAGTCAGAAGCTATAAGGATTCTCCTCTTCTAAAAGGCTATGGAAATAAGAAAAGGCAACAGCACCAGGATTGTGTCTAGCCCGAAGATCTGGAGACTTTCTCCCTCCCCAGTTTCTCTCAATTTGTAGCTTTTGTGAAAGGAGCTGGCTCTGACAGAATACTGTAGGCCTGCCAGGATGTGCCATAGCAACCTGTAGGCACCCCACAGCAGAAGCACCACTTCAGAAAAGTATTTTCTAGGGATGAAAAACACTAGGAAGGGGCCGGGGGTTTAGCTCAGTGGTGCTGGTGCCTGCTTCATAAGCGCAAGGGTCCACGTTTGATCCCCAGTACCAAAAAAAAGGAAAAACACTAGGAAGTTGAACCCAGGCCAGGTTTAAAGGGACAGCACTACACAGAGAAGCAGTACAGGGAAGGAGGGCCACTTGAAAACAGAGCCAGAAATGAAATGACAGCACTAAGAAACAGGAAACTGTTCATCACCAAGTTTTGTGATGTGACTAATGTTCTGGAAATGCAGGGGCAACCCCAAGGAGAGTGTCAGGGAAAATTGGAGAAGTTTCAATATTAAATAGGATTTTCTTCCAAATTACCAGCAATGGGGATATCATTGGATTGACAATTCCAAGAACCAGGATAAAAGATGTGACGTTTTCTACCATATTATTTCTATTATTACTTAGAAATGGTAACTAACGCATTAGATAACATAAAGTTACATTTGACACAGCTAAGTTTTAGGGACTTTGAAGGCCACAGTCTCATCTTACTAGAAAAATGTGTCCTACTTGTAGA